GGCATGCACAATACTGCACAGTAATGAACGCCGGTATGGGCGGGCTTACATAATAAGCCTGCCTGTTCGCATTAGCGATCCGCGTGAGCTGCCGAACTTTACGCTACTTTGTTGTATCACCCTCTTAGTCGACGAAGTGGAAGATTGCAGCAATCACGGGACCATCCAGTGCGTGCGTTCATTGGATTTGGAACGCATTCCGTGGTAGCGTCATGTCGCAGTTTGTCCGTAATGAGAAGCTTCTTACAGATGACCCTAGCCAGCAACCTCCGACTAAGCAGCAGCTCTTAGCAAACCGCCAAGAACAAGCGGACAACCAACCTCAAGCAATGGGCGGCTTTGAAGCTAACGAAAAACCTAGAGTTGACCCTCAGCATGAAACTGTTCCACGACATCAGCCCCAAACCGACCAGCACGTTCAGCATGGTCTGGAGAAGTTGAACGAAGAGCATGTTCTATTCGACCAGCCCCGAGCCGGTCAGATTCCTAAAACCGAGCGGGGTCTTCGCAATGAGCAGGATCCTAGAAACCTTTTCCAGCAAGTTCTTGTGGAAAGACAAGTGCAATCTAATCAGCAACGTCAAACTGGTCAGTACCTTGAGACAGATAAGCACCTTCAAGCCGACCAGCGAGTGGAACCCGACCTACAACTTAAGCTCGAACAACAATCCCAAGCCAATCAACTTAAAACTGACCACCTGCCTCAAAGTGAACAAACTCAAACAACATTCTCAAATCAGACGCATACACAATCTCAAAGCGATCAGCGTCTTCCAAGCGACCAGCAACTTGTAGGAAACAGACGCCCTCTTAAAGACCAGCTGGCACCAATGGACCAACGACCTCTCTCGCCTCGTAGTCACGGTCATCGCATGTACCACCATCGTCGTCATCAGCGCCACCACCATTCCAACCAACACCTTGGCCATCATGATCACCCCCGCCACCATGATGGAGGTCCTGATCACCATCATGATCAGCATCGACAGCGCCGTGGAGACAAGACTAGTGAACTACACGGTCCCGATCCTCTTGATTTAAAGGGCGATCGCGACGGAAAGAGTCTACCCTCATCTGTTGATGACTGTCCTCAACTCAAGTCCGATTGTGAGGATCCAGAAAGGCGTCCTGCCAGTTGCCTCGTCCATGAGGACATCGTAAATGTCCCACCGTCTGCTGGTGCAGCTTCCATAGAGAGTCCGGAAACAGAAGATGGTCACATCGGAGTTGAGTATGTAATCACTTTTTAAGTATAATGTAACCCTCCCCCCCCAAAAAACAACAACAACAACAAAAAAGATTTCTGCGATGTGTTATTGAGCATGGTGACACATCATGCTTAGTGCCACAGCGCAGGCAGTGTATTGTTTAGATATATTTTCAGCCCTGTCATTCGCCGAGCTCCCTGCATAGATTGCAGTGATTGGCACTCCCAAGTACTTTGCGGGAGGTGCAGACGCTCCAGATCTCTTAAGAGTGCAGAAATGTGTGCCCAGGCTCTTTATAAGGAGTATTCACTGGGCGCCATATTTGTGGGTACTGTTTAGAGCGCATGCTCAGAACGAGCCCACATTAATAGGCTGCTAAGACCGACAATCTTAAGGGTGCGGTATGCACGTTACAAAAAAAAAAAAAAAAAAAAAAAAAAAAAAAAAAAAAAAACTGGAAGTTCGCCATCAGCACGCGCTCAGCATTCGCGCACACAGCTATGGCCGCCAGTGAATCCTTCCTATAGGAAGTATTCATTTGCGGCCATAGCTGAGTCCGTGGCTGCTGAGCGCGCGCTGACGGAGGGCTTCCACAGTTCCTTTGCAACGTGTGTTACACATCTTCAAGATTGCCGGTCTTAGAAACCTATACGTGTGAGCTCGTTCTGTGCACACATAGTGAAGAACGCACCCCAAATATGGCGTCTAGTGAATTCCCCCTGTAGGCCTGCACCTCTCAAGTCTTTAGTAACGCTCCAGGCGAGAAAAAAAAATTAGGTCACGTTTTTAACTTGAGTAGTTAAACTTCCCCACTACTGTTTCCTATAGCCCATTCCATTATAAGTGCCAGAGTAGCCAAAGGCGTCAAGAGCGAGTTGGGAGCTTTCAGTGTCCCTGCCAAGCACGCGTACTCGTGCAAGGCGAGCATCGTTCAGAGAAACATGCTTCGCTATCACGCAAAGTGAAACATACTTGCTCAAAAAGGCTATGAAAGAAAGCAATACAAACAATAGACCTGAATGCAACGTTTGTGGGAACGTTGAGGCAGCGAACTAATAATGTCTTCTTTATTTTAACTATATATTTATACGTTTTGTTAGCGCGCATGGACAGATGCTGACAGACGTGCATGATCGGATATTACAGTGCCGCTTTTATGGTGGCATCGCATTGGATGGTGCAGCCAGCATTACATAGGCCGCGTCTTGCGAACGCACTCGTGTCCCCTGCCCGAGAGAAACGGGTCAATATGCATGGCTTGCATTGGTGTCACATCAGCGGCCATTCCGACCTTGTTACTGAAGGGCACAGCAGCGACCTTTCTACTGAAGGCGTACCTTTTGCAACATATGTATTGCGCCACTGCTTTCTTTTTCTCGGTTATGACAACCAGCAAGGAGCGATGACGCCAAATGCAAGCCCTGTTTAGCAGGCCTTCACTGATCTGACCGTCAGTAGCATGCATCCTTTCTTCAGCCTCCGCGATTGGGCGGGACGACTGCAGTCCGCAGGGACTTCTACGTCAGTCATTGCCTTCGTGGGCCTTCTTTGACTCGCTACTGTACGCTCAATTCTGATGAAGAAGGTGATTGACGGATGTCGTGAGGGTGGTCTTCAAGGTCACCTACGCCTTAAGGAACACGGCGCATGGAGAATCCCCAGAGTCCTGGTAGAGTTCCATAGCCGAAGATTGCGGCGTTGGCCGAGGGACCAACAAAGTGGTCCCTCGATTTCCGACTGATGTCATAAAAGTGTCATGCTCTCGCCGGTCGCGACCCTGGCGCTGTCGCATCATTACCGGTGGCGTATGTGGCAGACGCCTGTTCTGGTCCAGGCCGCTCTTCACTTTGACAGTCCACGGAAACTTCGGCAGCCAGGACTTTGGATGCCGCGACGACAGTATGACACTCGTGTTCGCTCGTGCTTTTCAGCAGCATTTCTACGACCAACCGCCAGGATCGCGACAGTCGACAGCGTGAAACTACGCCTTTTGTGACGTCATTTGTTGACACTCCGGCTTTCGTGACGTCATTTTTTGACACTCCGGCTTTTGTGACGTCATTTGTTGCCGCTTCGGGACCACTTTTCACTCATTGGCGGGATAAGACGCTAGACACACCTGTTGGAGACGCGTTCCAGGCACCATGGAAATACATATCTCAAGTCGGGGACTGAACAAAATAAGCAAGGCGAGTCACCGTATTCGTGTATACCGTCTTCACAGCTTAACGACAGACGTTTGTCACCCCTGATTAGTTAGGAAATAAGAAGGTATTAGTTCACAACGTCTCCCGACAGGAACAATCACTCATAACTTGGCGATTGATTACCTCAATCGCCAAGTGATGAGTTCGCACCTAATTGCTCAGATAAGCGATTATGAAGACTTCCCTGCTAATTACTGCCCAGACGTCATTATTTATGTTCAAAACGTAAAATATATGCGATCATGTCTAGTTCTACCCAAAAGATAAAAAAAAGTCGATTTCTCATACAGATGGCGCGCGGGCGGCCCGCACGCCATAAACAAGTAGTAACTAGGCATGACCCAAGGGTCACTCCTACTTGTTCTGGCCAAGAAAAACAAAATGGGTGGGGAGAAATGTATGCTGCAGAAGGTGTGTACAGTGGCTCGCGATATGAGCTAGAATTCGCCGACGGCGGTACAAACCACGCTGTCGCACGGCTACCGTGCGTGTTTCGGGGGTGGGGAGGACTCGCGCGCAGCGGGTGACTAGACCCATTTAAACCCCTCCACTGCCGTTCCGACCATCCACTCGCTGCCTACTAGACCGCCCGGTCTGTACTGCCTGGTTCACCGTTTGCGCATTCTAGTTCATATCGCTAGCCACTGTGCGCACTCAGAAGCAAGGCCCCTCACAATGGCCGCTTATCTGACGTGAGTGCAAGTCATGCACAGTTACTGCTATAAGTTTGCGCAATAAATGAAAAAAGAAAAACGATGCCAGGAGCGCGCAATTCCTGTGCATGGATCCAGGTCTCTGTACCTGGAGCGTACATGCCTAGCTCCTTAATGACTGCACGAGAACAGGATAGTCCCCACATGGTCTATGTGTTTCATCTCACCTTAACCTGGACTAACCGCAAAGGCTACAAGCGCGGCTTTCTCACGTTTGTCCCACCTCGGCTGCATGAATTCTGGATTATCGCGGGGAGTCAGAGACACCCGCACGCGCTTGTATTGTAGCTTTTTGCTGTTGGTTCATGTCCGTTGCGACGAAGTATCGAAAACAATAGTTATTGGCAATCAAAGAAACGCAGGGCGTGGTTAGTCCCGAGCATCTAATTATCTCTCGGCAGCCAATAAGGTTGCGGCAAGAGCCTGAAGAAGGAATTCCGAAGCAAGAGGCGTGAACATAAAGGCATCGCCCGGCGTTCCTTCAGCTGTCAGTAATTAGAGATAAAGAGAAAAACGTGCCCGTACAATCGGGGTCGATGCTTAGATACCGGTTACCAGTTTGAGTTCAGTGTTCAAAAATATAATCTCCGAGTAAGCCATCAGTCACTTCAGAATGAAGCATATCTTCGGACGATCACCGTGCTCTTATTACAGATTGACACTTTAGACTAAATCAGGTTCCTTTCCACACAGGGTGACTTTTCTTCAGACACGCAACATAAATTCTTCTTTGCAGGTGGTTACAATTAAAAAAGGGCAAGAAGGAACACCGAGAAATGACACGGACGTCCTCGACGAACACCCGAACAAAAGAAAGGGAGAGCTCTGTCGTCCTCGACAGACTGGGTTCCGTGCTGACCAACGATGTGCGAATGGTACCGGACGAGCTGATTCTGGGTCACAGCAGATACCAACTGGTGGTCCTCGCCTGTGCCCACATCTCAGCCTTCATGGCAGTCTTCCACCAGGTCTCCACCTACCTGCTCTCCCGCCCCGTGGACCACTGGTGCAAGCCTCCAGCTCAATATGCCCACATGTCTCCGGAAGCCTGGAAGAACTTGAGCATCCCGCTGGAAGAAGAGGGGCACTACAGCCAGTGCACCATGTACGATCCGCCCGATGGTCCCTCGAACGCCACCAGGAAGGTAGTGGGATGTGTCCAGTGGGACTACAACCTTAGTCCCGGCGTCCAGACTATGGTGAGCCAGTGGAACCTCGTCTGCGGCGACGCTTTGGACCTGCCTGTGATCGTGGTTTATACCATCGTGGCCGACATGCTTTCCATTCCAGTCATTGCTCAGGTTTCCGATAAGGCGGGTAGAAGGAACGTGATCTACGCCTGCGTCGTCTTTGCGGTGGTGACGTGGGGTGTGGTCTATTTTGCCACCAGCTACGTGCTGTTCACTGTTGGACGCATCTTCCTCTCAATCGCGCTCAGTACCCTCAGGATGAACACCCTCATCCTGCTCTTCGAAGTGACCTCTCCGGGTTACCGGGACTGCTTCATCAGCGCGGCGCACCTGGGCGTCGCTCTGGCAATGACGTCGGCTACGATGCTCGGCTGTGCCACCGTGTCCAAGCGAACCGTCTTGGCCGTTGGCATGATGCCCACGGCGCTGTTCGTACTGGCTGTTGGCGTCGTCGACGAGTCACCGCGCTTGTTGGCGACCCGCTGGGAGTTCGATCGGGTAATGAACGTGCTGAGGTGGATGTACCGCGTGAACGGGACCTCCTTCGCGCCACCGCCTCTAAAGAACCACTTCCAGGTCAAGCGGAACGAAGCGTTCCACGACCTAGTTCAGGTGACCATCCTCGACCTCCTTTCTCAAGCTGCTCTCAGAAACCGCACCATCCTTGTGGGTGGCGTATGGTTCTGCTTCATCTGCTCGTACTACGCCTCCTGGCAGCTGAGCCCAAAGATCTGCGACGTGACCCTTCTACTGGTCATATCCTTGTACCAGGTGTCCACCGCCCCAGTGTCATGCGTACTCTTGAGACTCTACGGCAGGAAGGCGTCCTTGAGCGTGGTTTGCGTCTTGTCAGGTGGCCTCGCCTGCGTTCAGTCAGTGTCGGTGATACTGCCCGACTATATGGCAACTATATTGCGGCACTTGACCCTGTCTACTATTCTTCTCAATTTTTTCCTCTGCTACGTTTACACGCTAGAGCTTTATCCGACGGTCATGAGAACCATGGGAGTCTGCACCGCCATGTTGTGCGGCAAGCTCGGTTCCGTCGTCTCTTTTTTTGTGAGGGATCAGTCTAAGGTTCATCCGAGTGTGCCGGACATTTTGATTGCAGCTTTGATGATAGGTGCCATGGTCCTGTTGTCATGGCTTCCCGAGACGAAGTACACCAAGGTCCCGGACACGCTGTACGATGTCGAGACTCAGGTTGTGAGAGGAATCGTCATCAAGATGTTCCAAAAATGAGATGATTTGGTTTCCGCTTACATTCACTACAGTGCGTGTTGGTGGCGGCCAGTTATGAACATATAGTAAACATAAATGACAAGCAGGAAGGCACGTGAAGAGGCGCACTCGTCAATCGATAGGTCTTGCACGTTTATTTTCTTCGTAGCTTCCGTTTACCGTTTTCTCTTTTTATATATTATTTTCAGGGATTGTGAATGGTTGTGCCGGCTAACCTATATGAACACAATTCGTTTATATGCACATACTGAGTTTGTTTAAGAACAAGAGAAACAGTGTCCTTTTACGGACCATGTTTATTCTGAGCGCCAAAGCATAGAAATATGTAAAAATATATTAATACAAAATTATTGAAAAGAGAAAATAATTTACGTAGTTTTTATGGGTTTGTATTAATAGACTAAGTTACTTTTTTTACTAGCATGTTTCATGTGTCCTAATTTGAAGTTCATGAACTCTCCAAACTGTGAACATTTTATAGCTTTACTCAGATTTCTAGTTCCTACAGGTTGTTTGCTCGCTTATGAATTTTTTTTTTTGTAAGACGGGTGGGAGATGAAGGGTTTACTCCGGCGTGCTGTGCGTTAAACGGGACGGATAAAAACGTAAATAATGGTAAAACTACAGTAAAACCTTGCGGCTATTATTTTTTATTAAAATAATGTTACTGTCGATTTGACTGAGTGTTTTTCAACAGTCCTAATCTTTCTGAGCGGGGGCACCACCTGATGATTGAAGGTTGTCTGTAAAGGGGTATTCACACGAGGGAGAAATCCCGGGGATTTCTCCCCGGCACGCGCGCATCACGAGATGAAAACGCGAGGCTTTTGCACATGGCAAAGCCTGACGTTTTCGTCGTTGGATGCGCGTGCCGGAAAGAAATCCCCGGGATTTCTCCCTCGTGTGAATACCCCTTAAGGCGACACATTGTGGTTTTATTTCATTCCTAGGATCAATTATACAGGGCTACGCGATCTTCAATATATTTTTTTAACATAGCTTGGGGAGAGGAACAAAAAGAAAACTCAATCTTGAAGCTCCTTACTCAAGGACGACGAAGCGGCCGACTCGTCGTACAAATCGTCAAAAAAATTTTAAAAATTGGGTTGTGTGTATGTTTATACAGTCTAGAACTTGATCTGCCTCAACGGGCGACGAGTCTCCCAGCTGTAGATGAGCAATTTAGCCAGTGCAGTACAACCGCTGGCCTGGGGTCTTTAACGTGCACCACGCAGTAGTGATACACGACCGGACGCCGGTACGATGCTCATCCAGATCGAAACGGGCAGGGGTGGGGATTGAACCCAGGATCCCTGGGTTCTGCAGCGCGAGCTTTCGCTCCACGTGCTCCGAGCTGGTGTGCGCTAGCCCACTCGGTCTAGCCCACTCGACAGGTGCAGAGAGAGCTCGAAAGGATGATATATACCTCGCAGAGGACATACCTACAAACTGCTGCTGAAAAGGCAGTCCGCTTTCCAAAGTTGTTCTGGGCTTATGTCAAGCATCAGAGGAAGACCAGCTCGACCCCAGAGTTCACCATAACGGCCATCTCACAAGAACCCCCCAGGCCATTGCAGACCTTTTTAGCAATCACTTTTCATCAGTGTGGGCAGCTCCCACCCAGCGCTCTTCAGCACCTTCCCTGCCTGACCCTCAACTGAATGCCGATACCCTGGGAACCTTGACAATCACTCTTGAAGACACTGCAGAGGCCATAAAACGCATCAACTCATCCCAGGGACCAGGGCCAGATGGTGTTCACCCTACGTTGCTTCAAGCAGGTGCAACGAGACTGGCCCCTGTGTTGACTGTGATGTTCAATAACTTCTTGACCGCTGGTTCAGTTCCCAGCCATTGGAAAACCGCCCTCATCACCCCCATACACAAGGGACACGGGGCACCTGCGTCATCAGTTACCTCTTACCGGCCTGTATCGTCTACTTCCATTGTGTGCCGCACAAAGGAGCGCATCGTCAATAAACACCTTCTGGATCACCTCGAGTCGAAAGGGACTGGACGTAGCTGCGAACTGGCACTGGCGACCGTAGTGCACACTCTCAGCAACCATCTAGACAACCGAGTCGCCTGTGAACTTGTGCAGTTGGACTTCAGACAAGCTTTTGATAGGGTGAGCCATGACATTCTCCTTCACAAACTGTGGAGCATGGGCATCAGGGGCCAGGTGCTTCAGTTCTTGTCCAGTTTTCTGCACTACCGCAGTCAGCGAGTTGTGTTCCGTGAAGCCATGTCCTGTGCTACCGGCGTTCAGTCTTGGGTGCCCCAGGGCAGCGTTCTGGGCCCGACCTTGTTCAATGTCTTCGTGAACGACTTGGTGCTCTCATTGAAATCTACCCAATTTCTCTACGCTGATGATGTCACATTGCTACAACCTGCCCTAGGCCCTAGGCACTATCGGGAGCTGCAAGAGGACCTGGACCGTATACACCAATGGTCACTGATCAACCGCCTACCGCTCAACTCTTCCAAATGCTCTGCCATGCTGGTCTCCCACAGGAAACAGCCTGATGAGCAACATATACTAACCATTGCTGGCGACGCCCTTTACCGCAGTCATCAAACAAGACTGCTGGCCGTTACACTCGACCATCGACTCCAGTTCACTACCCACATCAACGAGGTGTTATCAAGAGCCAGGAAGATGCTGGGCTTTACTACTCAAATTTCTAGGGGTGCCGGAGCCGATACCCTCAAGAACCTTTTAACTGCGCTCGTTCTTCCTCAGTTCGAATACTGTTCTACAATATGGGACCCCGCGCAGATTAGCCTCATTGCATCACTAGAGAGTGTACAACGTCGCGCTGCATACACTGTCCTGTGCAGAGGCCCCCCACCACGCCCTCCCTGTTACAAAGACATGCGGACTCCCCAGTTGCTCAAAGCTGTAGGTTGGGACACCCTGGCCCTTCGACGGAAAGTGGCGTCCATCAGGCTGCTTGCCAGCATAACCTGCCCTGACCAGCGTCCCCCTCCCTTGTGTGATGAACTCCGGCACACCCGTGATGGCGCTTTTCAACGCCTGTTTGCACGCACAGAGCGTCACCGCCAGTCATACCTAATTCGTACTGTTCAGATATGGCGCTCACTACCAAACGCGCTGACAGCCAGTGTCCTGGAAGGCGAGATAAATGTAAAGGAGTTCTGCGGGGACGCTGTGCGTTCCCTCCGCGCCTACTAGATTGCGACGCTTGCCTAACTCCCTTCCCATTTCGGTTCCATTCTTATTTATTCATGTCTGTGTATATGTGCGAGTATGTGTGTGTGTAAATATCTTATATGGTACGGGTGCCACAGACCTACGGGTACGGGCCACCGGCCTTCTGTGATGTCCAAACTCTCAAGGGTTAAATAAAGAAATATCAATATCAATATCAGCGACAATTATCCCTGGAGAAGGGCGTAAAGGACAAACACAAATCTCCAAACACAGCTAGGTGACAGGTGCGCGACTGAAAAAACCCGCCTAGTCCTGGTATCGAACCAGGGACTTCTCAAATAGGCATAGAAACAAATAGACATACAGATCAGTGATAACAGCCGACGATAGCAGCGGAGGAGCTGCAGAGATGCACCGCCATCTTTCGGCAGGGGTGCAAAGCAGGGTGCGACCAAAGCGCTGGGCGCAGTGGCACTCGCGGCTGAAGTGGTCGTAAGTAAAATAGAATTGGTCGTGGGGGCGAGCACCCGTCGTTAACTTAGGTAGGCCAGCTCAGTTGAACTCATCGTTAGCGGTTCAATGACAGTTGACGCCGCCGTGTGACTCCGGCCGATCGCGATTGAGTCAACTGTCGTTGGTTTGATTGGCTTAAGAACCAAAGAAATTGTTGGCCTATTACGGGCCTAATATTTTTTATTTTAAATTGAATAAACCTGTTATACCGTCAGGTGGTGCAACTAGAGAGAAACAGTTTATTTCCTTTATGTTTAGCTCTCACTAAGACATTGTAATTGTAATTGTCGTTGACTTAATCACAGTTAAGAGCGCCAGTGTTACTAGGGTATTCGCTCTTTCTGGCGTAAGTTGAAACGTGGTAGCGCTTATGTGCAAACAGCCCCCAACCATTTCCGGTTCTGGACTAGACGTCAAATTCGACGACAGAAGCAAAATTCCCTTGTCAGAAGTAAGTGCCATATAGTGGCTACTGCCTTAATCATCCGGGTCTGCCATTGTTTGAGGACGTACTCTGAGCATGTATGGGACACGAGGGCTGCGTCAGCGTTCGGCGTGAACTCGGCTCAGTCCGTATTGGACACGAGTGCTGTCGTCAGCGGTCGGCAAGGACTCGGATCCAATCACGAGCTCAAGTAATGGTGACCGCCAATGTTGCCTGATGTACTTTTGAAAAGGGTCTATTGCACCTATACCACCCACGAGACAAGACCTGCGCACGACATCGTTCATCTTTAGTGAACCTCCAACCCGCCCCAAGTGGCAAACACGCCACAGCTCGACGAGAAGCGCTGCAAAGCGGCAGACGCGTACGTCTTGGCGTCGACACATACTATGCGGAGCGTAAGTTCGTCTGCTTCTTTTGCAGGGGTTGTGGTGACGTCAGAGTGCCGAGCTCTGATGGCCTCTGATTGAAGAATAGAGGGTAGGCCTCAAAGCAAGCTGCCTTGAGGTCTACCCACTATCCTTCAATCAGAGCAAATCAGAGCTCGACGTATTTCTGACTTCACCACAATCCCTGCAAAAGAAGCAGACGAAATTGCGCTCCGCATAGCGTCGCGCTCGTATTGCGAGACGCGTTGGCGGCGATGTTGACGCAAGCCTTGTGTAGTCGCACTCCTCATTCCATGTCAATAGGCACAAGCAAGCATTTTTATTTTGAGGTCAATCATCTATAAAGCAAGGAACGGGACGGCCTCACCGCGGTACCACCATCTCTGAATGTTGATAATTATGAGCATTTTGGGATTATGCCAGGAAATATCTCTGGAAAGCAAGAAAATTAAAGGCACTGCTATTCCCTTGAATTGAAATGGCAAAACAACGAGCGCTTTAATTAATGATAGTGGTGATGATGTCGATGACATTTAGGCTGTTCAATGATGATCGTGATGTATCAGGATTCTCTTTTTAATGATGAGGATTACAGTGTGTCGAACTAGTGAAGCGTAGCAAGGTGGTTCATACGTCCATCCGAAACGTCGCACATTGTCGGCTATAGCGTACGTGAAGCAGGGAAAATAGAAAGTTTTGGTAGACCGTTCGCCGTAGACAGCGGGTCCAGCGGGCGCGTGCTCAATCCATGCTTCGAAGTCACGGCACCAGCTCCCGCTAGCAAAGCGTAGCTCTAGCGTACGATCTACTAAAAGTCTCTAGTAACAAAGATATCAATAAGCGGGAGTAACTTAAATTAGTTGCAGTGATCAGTGACTGTTAGAACTTCAAAATGACAAAATGTGAATGGCATCTTCTAGATGCAGTCGCAATTGAGGACCGAAGAGTTGAGGCCTGCGGCAAACGATCTCAAGCGGCCGCATCTGGAATGACAGTCTGAATCCGGCGCCGCACCTTCAGAGCCCTTAGCGCTGGACCTTTTTTTCCTGGACATATCAGGGGAAGAACCGTCCGTTGTCGAAGCGTCTAAAGCATGGTCCAATGATTGCCCACTTGAGGACGATGAGTCTGCAGCTAGCTGGGGTGGCTGCACTAACGACGTATCTTCGGAAGATACAGAGGCAACGGTGGTGGAAAGTGCGTCTGCACTGGAGCTTTTACCATCTGATGTAGCGTCTCTTTGTGCCTTGTCATTGGTGTCTTGAGCGGTCGGAGGAGCACTTGGACCTGCAGCTCCAGAGGGCACATTGTGGCTGGTGTTTCTGGTAAACTCTGGAGGCGCATCGCTTTGTGTGGCGTCACCGGTGTCTTGAGCAGTTGAAGGAGTACTTGGACTAGCGCTTTCAACGGGGACGCTGTTGCCGGCCTCTGTAGTAAGATTGCCGCTTTCTTCAAGGTGATCGAGTCTGATCTCAGGGGGATCATAGCTAGGAAAAGTCTCTGGTTGGTCTGCGCCGTCTATGAAACTGTCGTCTGGCTCGTAATCTGGGGACGGGTAACACTGTGGCCAGGGACAGCACGTGGGGAATTCTCCAGGATTTTTCTGTAGCGTGCAGTTGGGAGGAGCGCCCTGGTAAACGCCGTAGTGGCACCTGGAATGAAGGGCGGACAAATGAATGAATGAAATAATGAATAGGGTAATTTATTTCTACCACATATCCTGGTGGGAATTTTGTAGGAGTGGAGAAATAATCAGTACAGGTAGATCACATAAGAAACAGTGTCAGCAATTATAATATACTATGTTGCCACCAATGACGAGGCGACGATACGAAGAGTAAGATAGGGCGAACTCGTGCCCAAAACAAAATAAGAGAAAGGCTAGCGTCGATGGCGGCATAACAGTAGGACCGAGCGCCAGGGCGAGACTGACTGCGGCTCGCCACGCGGAGCCCCTTATGTACACGCGTGGACTTCTGGAGCAATCAGCGTAGAAGCATAGCCTCCTCTATACTCAAAAAGCCCGGCAGTTCGATGACGGAGCCATAGAGTGCCCGGTCGCAGATTTGGAGAGCGAGGATCTGGTAGCACAGAGCATTTCTCGGGGAGCCTGCAGTCAGCACACAGCTTCTGGAGCGGCGAGGACCCGAAACATGGTTTTCAAATCGGACGAGAAAAGAAGCGGTAGCCCGAGGAACGCGAGAAGCACGAGCGGACATTTCATCACTCGGGAGAAGTGTGTTTCGGCGTCTCGCCGCAGCGGGGCTCCCGTTATATGCCTCTGCCTCTTGTCTGCCGCTTTACCTTTTCACTTTCGGCGGCCGCGTCACGTTGCGATCTGCCAGGCTTTGTCAGTATGTAGAAGGCTATGGTAGAAGGTTCGCCGCGTAGAACATTCGAACGTCAAACAAGCAACAGAGTTCTCGAATTTACCAAGACGAGACATTTACAGAAACAACAAAAAGGTGCATCCCCGGACAGGCATCGAACCTCTGCCCTTTCCGTGAGAGCCAAGCTCCATAACCATTTGGACATGGGCGCGATTGGTCGGAGACGAGAGTGGCAGTGTGGATAAAAGAGTTTCGCCAAAAGCCTTATTATACACTTTTAGAAAACACTAGTCGCGCTCTACCTCTGAAAGATTTTTGGGCACTTAGAATAGTAGAGTAACTCTACGGTTGTCTCGTAGAAAGTGAGGTATTGCTTTCGATAACTAGTATAATGTGACTTGCTTTAGTTATGTCTGCATTGACCTGTAATGTTTACCCTCGTTTTAATAACCATAGTTTCACGTCTTAATGACCTGAAGCAGGCATTAAATAACATAGAGATACAATGCAGCATAGTGAAAGCTGCAACCTTAATTTATCTCGTAAATGCCTATAATGCATGAAATGTAGAATTTAAGCACCGCTAGTTTAAATTTGTTTGAAAGACGTTAAATGGTGGTTTCGGGAGTGGAAGATATTTTATATTTACGTATTTAAACGCTTAATATACAGGGGATACGGATTTCGTGCCTCATTTTGGCCGCAAACTTGAGCGGGACTGAACTGGTCTATAGGTCATATGACGTGAGGTCACGTGATGGCAATTTACCGCTAAACTGAGAGTGAAGAATGAAGCGGTGTATAGATCACGTTGGGTTTACTACGGTTGATCGAACGTCATTTCATCGAAACACGTTTTAGAGAACGTTCACATTTTATCGAAGCTCGGTTTAGAGAAAGCGGGGCCTCAATTTAGAGAAACGCCGTTGATCCAAAAGGAACGCTTTTAAAAAAAAAGGCTTCCCTACTTCTCCCGCGTATTACTGGGGCGCGACAGTTTCCGGAGGCTGATTACAAAAATGTGAACCCACCTGACTTATCCGTACACGCCGCTTCGCAGCGGCCGAATTCGCTTAAAGGAGACTCATCACCATTTTCTCTAAATTAAGTTTCTCCATAAAAAAAATTCGATAAGGTGTTGCCGGTTAAACGGCTTTCGCGAAAACGAGCTTCTCTAAACCGCATGCCTTCGGGTCACGTGAAGTCATGTCACATGACTGATTGCTCAGTAAAATTTAAGAAGGAAACGCACGAACGAGCGGACGGACAAAAACTTGGAATTGGGCGGTTCTACTATAAATAATTTTATGCTTTAACAATTGTAGGTCTAGTGTGACATGCTGCCAGACTTGTGACCGTAACTTGAAAAATGCAATGAATTACAATCACAAATCACAATCCCTCGAATGTAGCGAATTACCGTTACCAATTACTTTCGCTAAAGAGTAACAGATTACCCGTTACGTTATACAAATTACTTACACGTTACTTTTCTCGTACACTTATCAAGACAACAGTAGAAACAATTTTGACGTTTTTCAAAAATATTTTGCAACACTTCTTTCCATTTCTTATACGCCCGCGTTCTGGTAGTCATTGCTAAAATGAAATATGGTACTTAAGAGAAAGAATGTAGGTGGCACTGCGTTCACCTGCAAGCTGACATGACTGCGAAAGCTGGAACCACACCCGCCATCCCGTTAGCTTACGGCCACCGGAAGTGACCCCTGAAAATCTTCGGTCAAAGCTATAGCGGTTCGCATGCTCAGTGACAGCGTCTACCTCCACTAGGATATCAAGAAGACCACGACTACTCGGCGTTGTCTCCTTGATATTTTTGTTTTAGAGCGCAGCTCTTAGGCGCCTGTTTTCGGCTTGAGCGGCGTCGCCGTCGCCATCGATGTAACCGGGCGTTGCATTATGGGACGTTTCCCATAATGGCGTCACAAGTTACGTCACGTGTGACGTCACGGTTGTCACTAGGGTCACGAGTGACACCACGAATGTCACTAGTGAAGGTCACCTTCACAGTGACCTTCACGAGGCCTTCACGAGTGACGTCATGAGGGTCACTATAGGGTCACGAAGGTCACGAGTGACATCACGAAGGTCACTCGTGAAGGTCACGACCTTCACGAGGCATTTACGAATGACCTTCAGAAGGGTAACTAGGGTCGTGAGTAACGTCACGAGGGGAGAGGGAAGGAGGGGGAGAGAGTGAGGGAGAGGAGGGGGGAGAATGAGAAGAGGGCGAGTAAGGAGGAGGAGGATGGAGGAAGGGGAGGTGGTGGGGAGGAGGGGAGGAGGAGGAAAAAAGAAGGGAGAGGTGGAGCAGAGAAGGGGAGGAGGAGGGGCATACCCTCCTCTCCGTACCCTCCCTTCCTCCTTCTCAAGAGCTGCGCTCTAATTCGGCATTACAGGGAATTGTAAGCGTCTTTCATATGATTCGCATACTTGTATAAGCCTTGCACGTTTGTCTGGTGGTTTAGTGACCGGTCATAGAAACAAAAATCGCGTATTCTTTTCCGTTATTCTCCTCTTCGCGATGTTTTTTATTTGGTTGAACTCGCTATACATTTTTTCTCTTGAATTTCCTGCTCATATTGCTCCCAATTCGCTTTTATGTTCATACATTTAAAAAAAAGTAACGAGCAATTAACGTATCTGTTACCAATATGTAGTAATAAAATTACGTTACAAATTACTGCTGTAAAGAGTAACGTGGCAACTAGGTAGAAAATTACTTGAAAAAGTAAAAAAAATTACAATTTATCCGTTACTTGTAACGGATCACTTCTCAGCTTTGCGTACTGCCAATGTTTTTTCTAATAAATGTGATCGAGCGTGATGTAGGATTTGCAGGTACGAGAAACACATTGACAAAAAAGCTAGACGTGCTCAACTGATTAATCAAATTGGGAGGAACTTGCATTTGGACGTTATACTTCCAGGCCAGGTGGCTGCGCATTACTTAATGGTAAATGCATATGCACGTTACTGCTTTTAGTTGTATATCGTGCTAGGGAGAGTTTCTGGGGTTCTTTGCAGTCACTTATTATACTCTAAAAATCAAGTGGAGAGCTTTGTTCTTTCTTGTACTAACCGTTTGATGGCCATGAGCTCGTTTTCGGCATCACATTCGTAGGACTCGCAGGGTTCACCTTTCTTGACGACTTCTCCGTGGCTCATCAGATGTCCTTCGAAGGAGCACTTTCCTGCAGACGAATGAAAGATATAGTTCGGTCAAGCTGGAAGTGCCGAGGAGAAATTTTCCGTCACCAGATCTACACTAGTTTGCTCCTCAGAATACAAATGAAAACGTCTTCTTGTCGAACGTAGTGTAATTTTTTTAATTTTTTATCATTGACCCGACCGTTCTTGTATAGCCTTCCGTGGAGGGAAAAGCCTGCGCTTTCCATGCCAGAAGAATAAATAGCCAGGTTCCAGGAAATAGAGGGAGGAGGAGCAATTTAGCCAGCGCGGTACAACCCCTAGCCTGAGGTCTCTAACGTGCCGCACGACCGCACGCCTGTACGATGCTCATTCAGATCGAAACGGGTAGGGATGGGGATTGAACACCGAATCGCCGGGTTTTGCAGCGCGAACTTTCGCTACGTGCTCCGAGCTGGTGGGCACTAGACACTCTGCCACCGATCCCCCCTAACACAGAATCTAATCCTGCAGAAGTCGCACTTTTGAATCCTGATGATCGGCATTTGCGTCTGCTCTGCACAAGCACCAAGATGGTGGCGCACAATAATATCGGCGAACAGACTGCCGATACTCTAAGTGTAGCTCATTTAGTCGCTCTAGCTTCCACCACGCTTCTGCAACGTACATTGCACACCACCAAGATTGTAGTTCTTGGAAGATAAGTGGGGGTTCGTTCTGAGCCAGCGTTTATCGTGGCCAACTCACTTATTAGCGGCGAGATGTTTTGGTGGCGCCCTCCTATGGTTCCCCCTTGTGACGTCATTACCTTGCGAACAACAAGTTCGATGGTGTTTGTAAATAGCATGGTGGAAGCCTGAAATCATTTCGCTCTCAAAGCAACACTGCCAACACCGTCGAAATTAAAGTCCTTTCATTCCTTTTATTTCCGTCGGTGATAAATCCTTTTCCGACGTCATAGTCAGCTTTTGGGCCAATCGTGGAAGGCCGACCACAGCGACGCTTTCGGTCGCGCACGTCGCCAATTGGCCGGCAACTTTATGAATGTGTAATAATATTCGCTACAGATGTTTGATATCTGCCAAAGCCGAAGCAGTAAAGCAGCCGTACCATCTTATCTGACTCATCGGAACCTCTCTTGTGACTAGGCCAGTCGTACATCTTGTGGTACCGCAATAAGAACTTTGCGCCACACGATTATAGCCGATCAACATGCAGCTGATCACAAATGTTGCCATTCGTGCTCGATCCGGTAGTTTCGGTTTAGCCGTGGACCCCCAAAACAAAACTTGAATATAGGATGTCTACAAAACTACACAAGGTATCGACAACAAAACGGACATTTCATAATTCAGGGACACTTCCTTCACTAAAAACCGACTTAACCCTAAAATCGATAAGATGTACAGAGTTTCCCTTTTACGGAGTAAATTTGGATTTAATATCAACAAATGAAGCCAAATATTGCTAGAACATTAATCTGAGTGTACTTCCCATGAAGTGTTTCTGATTGAGCTTGAGCTGTTATAAGTCTTAATACGATGCATTTGCGGGACAACACCAAAAAAACCATAAAAAAGGCGAAGAAACTTTTTTAACCCCGATTAAGAAGACAAACAGAAACCATAATCTGACCTTGACCTTGGCTGGAATAAATAATAAATAATAATAAATATTTATTTTCAAGTGCCCAAAAACAACCAACAGGTCTTTTCTTTGGTACACATAATAAATGAGGAATTAAAATAACAGAGACATGGCAAAAATACACAAACGCTACAAATTGGCAACAAGTACTTTCATTTTCATCGCGAACACCCGAGAGTCGCTAAATATATCCACTTCAGCATTGTTGATGCGGTTAAAAAGCAGTTGGCAGCGTGATAAAGGCGAGAGATCACAGACAGTATTAATGTAAAAAGTACACTGATTTCTAGTGGGTCGGGAGGGAACATGTAAATTAATATCACTTAAAAGCGAGCCACAATCAGATACACCGTTTACTAACTTATGAAAAAAGACTAAGTCACGTCCTGCGCTTCTATCGGACAAGTTTGTTAACGAAACTTTTTTAAGAAGAAATTCATAATCAAAATAGAAGCGACGATGAGAGTATCGATCACACACAATGCGTATTACCTCTTCTGTACATTTTCAATGTTCAATGCCCGAGTTTTATTTAACGCATTCCAAGCTACTGAAGCAAATTCAAGTCTAGACCTGACTAGGGCACAAGATAACCGAACCAAGGAAGCCGGGTTATTAAAGTGCTTCGTAATACGAGATATAGCACCAAGCATTCTTGTTGCACTGCCAACGGCAAGTGACACATGGGCAGTAAACGTTAAAACATTATCAAGGTATACGCCAAGGTCTTTTATAGCAGAAAGACGTTTGATAGGCATCCCCTCTAAAACATAATCGCAGTCTATTATGGTGTGACGCTTTGAGAAAGATACGACTTTTGTTTTCAATGGATTCAGAGATAAGTTATTCGCTGTACACCAAATAGCAATCTGTGAAACATCATGCTGTAGAGCGTTGCAGTGGATAGAAAAGTGAATATTCATAAAAAGCTTGATGTCATCGGCAAACAACAAAATTTGAGCGTTATCAACATATGACGGCAAGTCGTTGATGAATATCAAAAACAACAACGGGCCAAGGATGGAGCCTTGAGGGACACCAGATGTGGAAAAGAAGTGATCGGAATGACTGTTATCTACACGAACTGCGTTCCGTCGAGATGATAAATAACTACGGAACCAGTTACATAGCTCTGGGCAACAACCATATGACGATAATTTGTGTAACAGCAATTTATGGTTTACTTTATCGAAGGCTTTAGACATGTCAAAAAAGATACAATCAACTTGTCCTCTGTTTGTAACAACAGGGGCAGAGTAATTTAAAAAAGAGCAAAGATTTGTTTCAACCGAACGTCCCTTCAAAAAACCATGCTGACACTCTACAAACTTATGCCGAAAATAAAAAAGAGTCCGGGAATACATAACCCGTTCAAAAACTTTAGAAAATCCAGATAGCAAAGATATTGGGCGGTAGTTGCTTTTCACAGACCTGTCACCTTTTTTCAAAACTGGTACAACAACCGCTTTTTTCCAAAGGGAGGGAAAAACACCAGAAATAAGAGAGAGGTTGAAGATGTGCAACAAATAGGTATAAATAATTCGCTACATCCCTTAATAATAAAGGATGGAATAGAGTCAGCTCCTATATATAGCTTCGGTTTTAATTTTTTTATTGCTTCCGCAATTTCAACGGCATCTACTAGATCTAATACCAGACAAGAAATCATGGCAGTTGGTTTTTATTTCTTGCGACTGAGTCCTTTGCTGACAGGTTGAATAACAACTGCTGAAGTAATCAGCAAAAATATTGGAAACTTCTAGAAAGCCATCGGGGGTCGATTGATTACTCGGCATTTGAAATTATAATTCGACACGGACGCTAATCTGGAATACGAATGAGCATTCGCTTGACGCATGATCTGCAGTTTCGATCTGTCAGGTCTCAATTCGGAGAACTTCAGGTTTCCATAGAAGATAAATCGATAACTTACAGGGTAGCTTTTACATCATTTCTAATGGGGAAAACCTATAGAGGACAGTCAATTGCCCACTGTCACCGTAACAACTTCAATGTTTTTTGATATAAGGGTATTCCACGTATAAAAAAATGCGTCGGCGAAGCCGCCCTGATATTATCATCATTGGCGTTGGTAAGGGGCCATAAGGATGACGGGTTTCTGCTCTCACGCGCTGTAGTTTTGTAATCTGAGGTGGCCTTTGGAATGACAAGAATGTATCTGAAGCTTCCTAATTTCAGGATGAGCCTGGCCAAAAATTTCGAAAGTCATTGTTTATTGTTTATGTTATATATTAATGCCAACCAGAGCAACATGGCTTCCCGGTGGTGCATCACAACACAAAACGCAAACACACACACATACACACACGCACGCACGCACGTATCATGCACTCTAACTCTATACGTGAAAAATACAAAACAGCGTAAAAAAAAATCTACACATCTTAAGACAGTTTTGACGCGTTCTGAATTCAGCGTGAGCCTGCTGTTTTCATGCAGGAGCTTGAATGTATTCCAAGGCCAGATTTTTCTCTCACCGCGGATTGGGGCTGTTAGTTTTTAGCGCAAATATTTAAGTATTAAAACATATAGGGAATTTTAGTCACCTTCAAGATACTTGAAAAAGACTTTTATAGAAGCTGTGTCATGCGACGTTTTGGTAAAATAAAAAAAAGAAAACTTGACAAGGTTTTTTAGTGAAACGCCAGATGCCACGGCTTCCAGGAGGATTCCCTCAAGGATTTTTTCCGCCAGATTTCTTTCTGATATGTGGTACGTGTAACTGCGGAACGACGAATAACCTTTTCGGATATGTAAACTGCGTTCTTTATAGTGTTGGGAAGTACCTTAAGTACATTGTATCTAAAGTACTACTTCATGTTGTTTTAGCATTTTGCACTTTACTTAAAGTACATTTTCTTAGCATCTACTTAAAGTTTACTTAAACAATTTTTTTTCTGTCGCTTTCTGAGGAAAGTACAACTGCCGACTTCAAAGTGTATTTCCTAAATCTAGATCTGCTAAATAAGTATATCAAAAGGATGCTTTGTCAACAAATAAATGTCTTATAAGTTGATTGTGTGAAGTCACTAGACTTCATACAATATTCACAGATATTTCTGAAAATGACTGATGCAACCTTTGATTACGCCAGGGACAATGTACATATGTAAAAACAACAACAACAACTCAGTATAGGGATTGAAAGGGCACCATGAAAGATTATGTTAAAAAGGACTTGTCATGTACTTCGAGAGTACATTGTACTTATAGTACCTTAGTTCGAGTACATTGCGCCCGGTGTACTCACTATTCTACTTGAGGTACAGAACCTTTCATTTACTTTGTACTTTACTTCAAGTACTTTTTATATAAACTTTACCTAACATTGGTTATTTGCATGCCTTATCTTCCTGCTATTCAAGTTACCCTTAATAATATTGAAGAACCCTTAATAAGTGCTCACAGTACAACTTGACGGTGAAGTTGGAAGGTGGATGCGGCTTGTACTTCGTTGAATTGTATTTTACTTTTAAGTATATAAAAAAATATCTTGAAGGTCAGGAACCTCGTTTTTTCTCGCCCATTAACATACCTGAAGAAATAATCTTGGCTACGAGTCGATGCACCTCTTTTCATGTAACAGATAAGATAATATTGCTGCGTCCATCTTCTATAACAACAACATAACCCTTTATTGCTGTATTAATTACTTCTGTATTTTTTAAATTGGGAGATTTACAATGATAATAGGACTATTTGTGGAACAGGACCATGAAATCGTCGACTTACGGCACTCGATCGTCTAAGTAGACTACGGAATCTCAGCTTATACAAACCAAATATATTCTGCAAATGTAAACGCAGAATGAATTGTATGGAGGACCAAGCGGTGATGAGAAAAGTGCAGCTGGCAAATAATGAGGCATAATTACACGAACTGCATGGGCATGAGGAACAAGCATGACGTTTAAGATGTCCCATCTCTCTGCGGAGGTACCAGGTATAAATGGGTCATCCAACCTCCTAGCGACGATAAAAACGTCAAAATCTCATAAGAAAACAAAAACAAAAAAAGAACGACGAACAAAACTCGTGATTACGACCTGCGGTTGCCATGCCGTTTTTTATCGGTATAAGCACACGGCGTCAGAAGCACCAATCTAGGATATCTTAAATTTTAACTGGGATTCGCTGACACATATCTTTCTAAACAGCATTATTTCAATTTAGTAAAATTTCCATACTTTAAAATAACTGATATGCCTATGTTTTTGCAAAAATACTTAAAAGCACTCCTAAAAAAAAAAGAAAAAAAGAAGGGCATAGTTTCACACCTTTTGCCCCACATAACCCACCCCAAAACTTTAGTTTGACGCACAACGCACTGACTTTGAATGGACGGCACCAACTTTCACGAGCAGCTTGATAGCCGAATGGCACAACTTAATAAAATAGTTAACGTGCATGTTACTAAATACAAAAAAAATAACCAGTTTTTTTGTTTGTTTTAATGCAAGACCTTGGTGTTTTTTTTATTTCTGTAGTCTTTGATACTTACTTTAGCTTTTTAATGAGTTATATCGCACCGTTCTCAAGCCCCTCGTAAAAGTTGGGACCATTAGTTCGACAGGAATGGGCTGTACATCGAACTAAAATTTTGGGGTGTATTATAGGGGACAAAAGGGTGTAAGACTACACCTTTTTTTCTGAGAGTAAGATCTAATCGCTGTCATATACGAATCTGGTGCGCCTACTTTCCCGCAAAACACGGCGAAGACTATAAGAAAACAAACAGTCTGCTGTGTGGCACTGATTGTCATGTTCAGTGCCACAGCGCAGACCGTCGATTGCATCGGGTGGCCATCTTGAGTGTACTGCGGGAAAGTAAACGAACCTGATTTTCTATAGTCAGCTTGCTCAGCAGCTTATGATCATTTTTCTTGCTTTCTGATTCGATCTTCAGCGCTCTTATCAACTGATGCCGAAACCTTGCTACTTGCCACTCCTCACGTTTCTTAAGTTGTCGGTGACTTTAAAGTGTATGGTACCAGTACCACCGTACCATTTACCTGACTGATCACTAAAAAGCTTACGCAAATATTTAAAAAAAATGGTTCACTATACATGCCGAATAGTTTCTTCAGAAGCGGCTTACAACACTCAGCGTCCGCTTACCGTCCTTGACATCAGCGCTTTCCAAGAGTGTGTAGGCATCCGCTAGGTGCCATAGCGCTGCCATGGTGACAGCGAGGCTCGCGTGAAAACGCATCTTGACCACACCTGAACGACCTCTCGAGGCTTTAAGATCTCGAAGTATTGCGCCGACGCTAGCCCTGATATTTATGGGTCTCGGGAGTGAGAGACATCTCGAGCACTTCGCGGAACTGGTCGACTTAGAGGTTTATACTTCGTTTCACCATACCTTGGCAAAGAGGCGAACGCTACGGTCCCCTTAGAGCCAATCAGCGTGTCGGAGAGAGGGACACGTGACTCACCGCGTCTGGGCATGTGCTGTCGAAGAAGAGGTGAGCCGTTTTTGTGCGAATTCTGAGTGACGGCCTTTTTCTCTGAGGGGAGTGAGTATGGCGACGTCTAAAGACACACAAAAGAGGGTTCAGGTTAGAAAGGGAGTTCCTCCTTCCCCTCTTCTCCAACTGCTTGGGTTACAACCTCGCCCCTGCGCCTTCGGTGAGAACTGTCACGTGGTTCGCCTCCGTCACTCCGATTTGGCTCGAAGGAGCCCGTAGGTTTCGTTCCATGCCACGTTGTGGTGAAATCGAAGTCAGAGATGATTGAAGAAGATCCTGCGAACGAACGAGAAGTTGTTTTTCCGGATCCGAAAGTAGCGAGCGCGCCGCAACACCCCCGGAAGGTCAAGCTCGTGACCACCGCGACGGATTTCTTGGAAAACAAAATCGAGCAAACGGATCTTCTCCTTCACCCCGTTTTAAACGTGGGCTCCGCTAGTGACGTGGGTTGCCGATGACGCAAGCATCGAAACGTTCGACAAATTTTTGCGAGACGAGTTTATTGTTTTTGTACTTTATCGGAGTCATGGGGTATACGTTAGGATGAGGCTATGTTGTGGCGCACCGCATGAAAGGCGTAATGCTTCTGGTGGATATCTTTGGATAAAAATGAAGAAGGGGGAAAATAAAAAACAGAAAGTATGGCGATCAAAATTACCGCTTTTCTTGGCGCCGACGCCGAAGTTTTCTGGCACTATTGGCGATGAGATTAAACTATATCTAGGTGCCAGGCGCTGTTCCAGCTTGCTTTCCCCAGAGTTTTGCGTTTACCCCCTCGAGGCATGTGTAATGGATACTTTACTTTCTATTGTTCGATTGAACGCGGGGTCCCAGTTTTTTTTCCCCACGCTCAATCAAAAAGATAAAAAAACCAAAAAAACCACGAGTGCTGCGTTTGCGTTTGGCTTCAATGATTGAGCATGATCCCCAGACATGCAATACCGCTGCTCCGTACCGCGGTACCGCTTCTGCGGTAGGTTTCGCCTGCAAATGTACGGCCCGCGCCTTCCATGCGACTTGTTATGGCGAAGAATTGTAAATTCTGCCTGCCTACCTTGCGTCTTGCAATTGGCAGTCATTTATCCTGACGGATTTGTGGTTGCCGTCTTTCAGGGAATGATTCAAATGCCGCATTTTTCGCACTCCTTGACATATTTATTCGGCCATTTGCATAATGAATAAAAATAATGAATGTTTTCACTTTAAACAAGCCTTTCTACGCGAAAAAAGAAAAAAAAATGAGCGCAGTATCTACGTTTGTAAGAGGTGCTACATTGAAGATACACCGTGGGGTACTGTAGCGCGAACACGACATCAGTGCTTTTTCACTTATCACTTTTAAAGGGCATCGGCGGGCATCAAGTATCACTGTTTGGTTAGTTCGTTAAGCGACTGTTTACATCCTTGTAGACACAGGTGCAATTATGGTGCGATAATGTCTTTCTTTGTGATTTAAAAACACAATACCGACATGTCTCCTAAAAATGGAGCTCTGTTTTGAACACACCCCTGTACAAACAATATATTCGTGGGAATGATGTGTATGCCCATACACTTTTACCTCGTTACATTAATACAAAAAACCCGCAGTTCGGACCATAGACAGTTAGTTTGGGAGCGAAATGTCTTCATTTTTTTTTTATAATGAAGATAAGCTTCGTAAAAACGTCCCTCAAACGCAAAAAACAAAAAAGAAAAAGATTAGGGAAGTTTTTGAATTAAGGAATCCACCCAAAGCTTCACTATCATACCAGATATGACATGGACACTAACAATAGTTAAAATTTTTAGGGCTTTCCGATCTCGGTCTGGGTTGCAGATAACGAATATGAACAACGGACTTATTGTTGTTACTTATTATTTGTGATCTTGATTTTGATTAATGGCACGGATGACCAACATTATGGACGATTCTTCTGGAGAAAGGATGTTCGAATATTAACGAGGCATGTCTGTAATAGCAAACAGAAATGTTTGGCTATGTTTCATAAAAAAACGCCGTAATTATAATTTCTCATACATGTCACATAAAAGCAAATTCTACCGTAATGTTGTATAAACTAGTTCTACCGTGTATAAGTATGTCTAAAATATATATTTTGATTCTTTTTAGCTCCAACTGTTCATTATTCTTGAAGCTATTGGTTGTGGATTCTGAAAAAAAAAAAAAAAACAATTCAACGTATATTTATGATGAGAATCAATTGTTTAACTTGTGTAACGAGACAATAACTCAAATTTAAGGGGGTTCGATATTGTCCAGCAAAATTTTACATTTTACAAAGTAAAAACCTACAAGTAGTAGTTAGAAATATAGCTGCCAAAAGCCCCATTATTATCGGCTCAAAGAAACAGGTGTTCCCAAAAAAGGCCGCCTGGTCCCCTCCCAGCGGGCCACCAACCTATCTGAACAAAGTGGATGCTCAGGGGCTTCTGTTAGTATATGATCTTGCTCCATAAAAATCACGGGAGGAGAAACCTGCTGACGCCATGAACAACAATGTCTCTCTCTAGATAAGGGTCTTGATCGAAGTACAGCGTTGGGGGCGTGTCCCTCCACACTTGTGACTTCACCTCTGCTGGCCTCATGTCGCCTCCACAAGCTTCCTCCCACCATGCCCGGACGCCACCGCAACTGTCCGCCAGTTTCGGAGCACACGCAAAGCGCATGCGCGACTGCAAACAGCAGCAGTTCTGTTTTAGAAGCGCAAAGAAACTAAAACTACAAAATTTGCGCAGTGGGACGTTGACGCAAACCTTATAAAAATGTACTTTTTTGTGAATAGGTAATTCATATATAGTGAAATGTTGGATTCATTATTGTTTTTTTTTTCTTGAAAAGAAGAGTGTTTCCCCATCTAGAAATGCGACAAAATGCAGTGATTTCAGGTGTCACTAATCGGGAGAATATGCTTTTCTCATAGACCGAGGTAAGGTTGTTTGAAAGCGACAGTGATTGCGAGGGGGCGAATCGGTTGGCTACGAGTCGGCACCGAGAAATCGCCTGGCAGCGATGCCGGCGCGACGTTCTATTAGCTTCCGAAAGAAAACAGCTGGTTTGGATTCCTGTCATATCTTCGAACGACGTTTCTTGGAGCTGTTTTGATACATACATTACTCTGACAGATCCGTCCCATCGAGCGTTGGCCAAAATGTTCATATGACACGGTAAATTGTGTAAAGTTGGTGATCAAAAAATTTCCGTCGCTCTCTCAGTCCTTGCAATCATCGTCGGTAGCAAGCCACGAGGAAATAGCGGATTATGCGTTATAGAAGGCTCGAAATACATTTATGATATACCGACCTGTACTATATATTGATACGCCGCGAAAACGGAGAACTGCCCCATTCCGTCACTTTCCCGATCCCGTGTTGGGACTTCGTCACGGAGTATAACCATGCATAGCGCAAATCCAGGGCCCTGACTGGCCTACTTCCTGTTCTGTCTGCAGCAGGAGGGTGACTCTTCCGTCTTAGTTGTTCGAGAAAAGACGGCTCGTGATATAAACTGAACAGCGTTGACGGCGATGTAGCACAGTGTTGGCGGTAACGCGTTGCAAGTAACGGCGTTACCGGTAGCGTGTTACTTTTTCGGTAACGTAGTAACGTACTCGTTATATTTTCAAGTACAGTAACGGGTAACGTCCTTAATGTACTCATTTTGAGTAACGGGTAACGTAATTACGTTACAATATTCCTCCAAATACTTAACAAGATTACACTTCAATTTTTTTTTTCGTGTTTCTAGGCGCCAAGTTATGTGCATTTTTGAGTTTTTGGTGTCTTTCCTTGCTCTTTCTTGTGAGTACTCGAGTGAAGCCGTAAAAAAAGGTAAGGTAATTATGTCCACTTTTGCATGGACAAAATGTTTCTTGAAATAGAGCGGTTATGAATATCTCTAACGTCAAAACACTGAAGCGTGTTAATTCAGTATTAAAAAAGTTACGCAGAAGTAACGTGCGTTACTTTGCGTCAGAAACAGTAATGGTAACGCGTTCCTTTTACTTTTAAGTAACGCAAGATGGTAACGCGTTCCTTTTATTTGCAAGTAACGAGCAACGTATTTTGTTCCCGAAGGAAAAATCCATCAATGTAACCCTGTTTGGCAGTCAATGTTTTCTAGTGAACCACTGACTGTGCTTGACTGTACGTCAAGCATGTCTGATTGGCCAACAAGTTACTCTGACCGACAGTCAAACTCCAGTCAGACTCCACTTGTCGACTTTCTGATGGTTTCCTGGTGGCAGTCGGCCGCCGCGAAATGCCATCAAGATGTCTTGATGGCGATTCTGATTGTACATCGATTGGCTCTGACTGTACGTCAAAAAGCTTTGACGTGCAGACAAACGTACGGTCAAAGGACGTAAAGTTCGTTCGGATACCACTATTTCGTCAAATCTATGAATACGAAAAATAATCTATGCACAAGAAAACGATTTCGGGACGTGAGCCCATTAAACCGCTGATGTTAGAGATATGACACGCAGCCGACCGACAACCTTGATCAGAAGCCCGCCGAAACACCGAACAAAAAGCCACCATACCGAACACGCCACTTCGGGTACGTCGGCGGGTCATTTCTTGTTTCCATACTTTGTAAACTACATTTTGTTTCTTTTCTGATCTAAAATATACTGAACAAAAACTGCTTTCATAAATATTTGAAACGGTTCGCGCTACTTATGTTTTGTATTTCGACTAAAAAAAAAAA